TTCATTAAAATATGATCAAAGTTTGCGTTTGTCTCTACTATTGTTTTAATCACCTATGCGATTTACTTACACCTCTCTCCTTAATATTTGATCTCTCTACCCACGCACAACTACAATACTTCACAAGACAAAATATAAGAATTGTAAAAATATAATTTTATCTTGGTTTAAAAAAAATAAAATAAACCAAAATTATTAATTAATTTTAGCAACATGTATACTTTTAATATTAGATAAAATTTTATAAAAACTGTTAAAAATATAATTTTTTGCTTAAACTCTTGCAAAAAAATATACAAGTATAAAAAAAATAAATAATAAAAAAGATAAAAAAATATTAAGCAACACTATATTCAAACTCAAAGAAAAAACAATATTAAGAAGATAGTTCAATACTAGATACAAGATATAGTACAAGTATATAGACACTTTGAATGATATTAAATAATTAATCATTAAAAAAATTAAGCACTTGAGATTTATATATCTTTACCGTATTGTCGCAAAATAACGCGCTGGAGTGAAATTAAGAATTTCGGCCTAAATTAAGCTTAATTCGGGCCATTATTCTAAATAACACCCATGCCCGTTATTTCGCGACAATACGGTATGATGATTCTCCTCTATTACAGAAATAGGATGAAAAGATATTATACCTCAACTCGTAAGAGATAATCCTATTAGAGATGTCAAGAAAAATATCAGATCAAACTTAGCAAAAGAGAAAAAAAATTTTTTTGTGTTCAAGAAAAAACCTTGAAAGATAATACACAATCCATATATATGAGTGCTAGAGAATTTGTTAGACCAAGGAGTAAATTCTCATTTCTCAATAAGATCTTGACCGATAAACAGATAAAGATGTCAGACATGAAGGTTAGAATAATCTATCAAACTTTAAAAGATGGTACATGTATGTACCACAGAGATTAAAACCAAAAATACGAGAAAGAACAAACAGGATCATGACTAGGTTAAGAACCATGTTTACAGGTTATGATCCTAGTAAAAAAAGTAATTGGATTTTGTAAAAATATCGGTAAACAATTGGGAAAGAAACTTGTGGCTATAGACAAGCTCAAAAACGATTTGTCATTTTGTGTCGAAAAAGAGTTCAAGCAAAGATGGTATACCATTGGGAGAAGTATTTCACATCATTGGAACAAGATCAAGAATCTTCTAAAAAAACCTACAAGTTGGCAAAATACATCTGTAATAATTATGATACCATATTGCTACCCAAGCTCAAAACTCAAGAGTTGGCCAATCGAAGACTTCTCGAACAGATCTCGCGCATTATTCGTTCAACATATTCCTGAGACATAAGGCTCGTGAGTATCGACACATTAACGTGATCGAATGACAAAAGGATTATACATCCAAGACATGCACCAGATGTGGAAATGTCAACCAAAATTTAGATGCATCAAAGACTTATAGCTGTGCGAATTGACCATTGACAAAGACATAAACGTATCGGTATCATGTAACATACTCATCAGGAGAACATGTGAATATTCTCAAGGGTACCTCAGGCCCTGATACTAACCGTATTCATCTATGGCTTTTTACTGTAGTGGTAGATCTTTATGATTTATATACCATTTAAAAAAAGATGAGATTCGATTATTCTTTAATAAAACTTATTAGTCGTTGATCGATATACTAAATAGAATATACTAAGTAGAAATTGAATTCTCTAATCAAGTTAATTCCGTTACAACTTGTTTATTATCGACGAAACTATAGGCGACATTAAGGTAAATTCAGAATTAATGATCAAATTTCTGATTTCGAATAAATTTATTTTTTTTCGAAATAAACGACCTATAAATTCTATTTTTTTTTTTATATGATAATAATATATCATCAAAAAAAAAATCCCTATTTCATTTTTTTTGATTTTAGAAATGAGTTTTTAAACACCCACTTATTTTCGAAATAAATTAATTCTGAATCATCCTATTATAGAAATTTTCTCTATTGTCATTCTCATTTATTCAATTAAATTAAAAAAGTCAATTATGTATTAAAAATCAAAATCAGATAGCTAGATAATTTATCCGTCCTGGGACCTTCTGGGTACCACTAAATGTTACGAATAAGAATATTCTATTAAAAACTTTTCTATCGATTTCGATATTTTTAATCGGTTCTAATCTCTAAATATAAGCTGTCGTTTAACGACAGTTTAAAAATACTTGAAACAAAAAATTTTTAAATATTGTGAATAACTTGATTAGATAATGTGAACATTAACTATCCTATTTAAAAACTAAGTATTCACAATATTCACAAGATTTTAAAAAAAAAATTTTTTTTGTTTCAAGTAGTGTTCCGCAAACCAGAACCGTAATACCCGGATCCGCCCGGAATCGGCCAATAATTCGAGTCCGGGTCTGTAA